AACCCCTATCCACCCTGCTCGATGCAGCAGATAGGGCGCCGTTTATTATCCTCTGCGACGGCCAGAGCATCAAGAAATTGTTGTAGGAAAGGTTCATTGTGTTTTGGGAATAGAAATTTCCGCTGACATCCAAACGCCCCAAGTTCGGGTTGCAGCCCTTCTGTCGCTACCCTCATCATTACCATCATCACTGCACATTAGCTGAAGGTAAAAACACCACAGCTATTGTGCCATAATAGAAAAAATAATATAACCGAGAAAGCGAGATACAAAAACTGAAAAGTGATATAATGCCAAGTATCATGTTATCCATGGAGTGGGAGATCGTCGGAAGTGGAAGCTAAGCTGGAAAGGGAGGGACGAAGAAAATCACAGCAGGAGCGCTAATGAGGTCGGATCTTAGCCACGTCAACAAGTCTATCCAACCAGACGTGTCCATTGCCCTTCGGCCCCCAGCCCGACAGTCGGGAGACAGCAACCGACGCCAAGATAGAAAGAAAGGTTTTCACTCCCCTGGGCTGTCATTGCTTCGCCTTCGCCCTCTTCTTCCATCCACATCCCCGGCGCGAAAACAACGCACGACGCGGGAGTCGGTGTGTTGGCATGCGCAACATGTAGCGCAGTCATTGGAGTTTGATGTCTGATATGACGATGCTGAGCGATACATTCGCTCTTCCTGCACCAAATACGCAACGCCGAACATGCCCATTGGCCACGCGGTGTTCCCATCAGACCCGAGCTAAGCTGCAAAGGCAGTGCATACATGTCGACCTGATGAGTCAGGTTTCGCAGCCTTAAAAAAGAGTCGAACGGACGACCGTATTGTATACTCTGCCCTCCAGGGGAAGAGTGATGTCGCTCTGGCATCAGTGGTGGAGATTGGTAAAAGCGCCTCAACCGTTTGTTACAAGGTTCGTGGCCTCATCTTCTATTTCGCAGGCGCTAATATAGCTGCCAAGATACTTGAATTGCTGAACGACTTCTAACTGATCATCACCAAACGTCAGCGCATGAGGGGGTCCCTACCAACGTTGGAGAAGGAATTTGCATTTAAAGGGTAGAAAGCATAGTTTAAAGCGACCGACAGCCAGTGCTAATCTGTCTGATGATTCTTGGTACGTTAGGGAGCTCTCATAAGGGCAATGTCATCTGCATACCCCAAAATCAGGAAGTCCTCGTCAGGAAGCAGCTCCACATCTTGTAGGTCGTGTCCAGCAAACGCCGTGGTGTTCCTACTAAAGATTAGTCAAGCTGCAAAAACAGCGATGGTCCAACGCAATTAGCCTCTTTAGGTCTGTCGATTTGATGGGCCCGGATTCGTTACCGTACAGGATGGCTGAACGGACGGCTGCATTGTAAACTCTGCTCTTCAGGACAAGAGCGATGTCGCGCCGATGCCACAGGCAAAAGCGCCTCGAACGTATGCTATACGGTTGTTGATCTCATCTTCGATCACACCGGACCCTAATATATTGGGTTGTCAACAAAGATTTTGGGATTTTGGATCTTAAAAGTTGAATGCACAGATCTTGGCTAAGATGCAACATTTCTAATCGAAATAGAGTTTACTTGATGTGACACATCTTCGCCAACGGGAAACAATTCCGTTTATCCCGAATGAATACAATTCCGGAGTGCTGGTGGCGATGAGCTTGTCAAATGTGGTCTCAGCATTTTCTTGGGTTCTAAGACATTTCGTTTGGAGGAAGTCCTTCAGCTGCTTTAGGAAGTATTAATCGGTAGGCAAGATGTTAGGGAAGTATGGCGGGTGGGACAAAGTTTCGTAGCCCAGCTCCTGCAGCTTTGACAGGGTTGGTTATGCGACGGTCGGCCGAGCATTATCGTGGTGAAGCGTTTGCCTCTTTCGGTTGACCAGTGCCGAGTACAGGTGTTGAAATTTTTGGTGCTTTTCGACAATTTGACAATACTTATCCGACATAATGGTTTTGCTTGGATTAAGAAAGTTGTGATGGATCAAAACAGCCGCAGACCATTAAACAGTATTTGGAGTTGCAATTTCGATCTTGGAAAGTGTTATGGAGCTTGATCGTAATCCAACCACTGAGCACTGCGTCCTCATTGTCATGAAAAACCCACTTTTCATTACATGTCACAGTTCAGTTAAGAAACACTTCATTTCTATTGCTTAAAATAAGAACAGACGACACTACCTTGATTTTCAGTCAAATCGTAGGGGAGCAGCTTAACAAATCTTTCGACTTTCCTATCTACCGTAAATGTGGGAAAACTGGCATATGCGATACTGCTAATTCTGAAGAAAAATCTCGGACAGTTTTATGCCGATCTGCTCTAACTAAGGCCCTTAGTTGATTGTTGCTCACTTCTGATGGCTGTCCACAATGCGCTTCATTTACAAGCATAATGCAAACCGGTTCCAAGAAACAACGCATTCTTGATGTCACGAGCTGTTTCCGCTGCATTTCGACCAAGTTTAAATGAGGCGAAAAATTGTGGGATTTGGTCCTCTGTTCATGTCGCATTTAATTTGCTGTAAAGGTGTAAAATGTGCTTTTCGGCTAAACTATTACTACCGCTAGATAGAGCCAGGAACGCGCATCAAAACTTACGGGACAGTTATTAAAAATAAAGCTGGCATAATTAGCACATCAAGAACCTAATAGCTGCCAAGACACTTGAAGATCTGGACGATTTCCAGTAGATCCCTACTAAGGGTCAGCGCATGAGTGGGTCCCCGCCAGTTGTGGAGGAGTTGGCATTTCGAAGGTGCAAAGCATAACCCAAGATGACTGACAGCCGGTGCTAATCTATTAAGTGCTGGTTGGCATGTTTGGGAGCTGTCACAGATTAGGGCAACATCGCCGCTGTGCTCCGAGTCGATCACGTGAAAGTAGCTCCACACCTAAATCGTGTTCAGTGAGTGCCGTTTCCATGAGTTCGTCAATAGTGAAGTTAAAAGGTATCAGCAGTACGCCGGTAGATAATACCAATTATTCGCTGACGCACAACCAGGTGAAGTCGCGTGTGGGATAAGGATGGTCGCCCGGTCCCCTATGAAGGCTCGAAACCACAACCTCAGGAGTACAAGGCAGGATTGTGATCCTTAAGGTCACGGACCGGCTGGTGAAGGTGAAAGGGGACAGCGAGTAACCTTGTCTTACACCGCTGGAGAGAAAGAAGGGCGGCGACAGTTTTCCTTCACTCTGTCCAAACAATGCGCGTACAGAGCTCTTACGACATTTACATAATTATCGTGTACCCATTTCCAAAGCGGACAATCCCTAAGGGCACATAAATCAACCAAAGTAAAGGAACCTACGATGCCGAGGAACACGACTACGGTGGGTCACCAATAAATGTGGTGATAATCCAACAAGTGAGGTACTGTGACGATGGGGCTAATACAACCTCGGATTGCTCTTCGCGAAGCTGGTTTCCAACGGTGGCAGCAAGTCTGTGGAAAACGACAGAGGCGAGCAACTTATAAGCAAATGCGATCAGGCTGATTTCTCTATGATTGCTAAATTCCGAACATGATTTGAAATAGATGAGAATATGCGTAGCTCGGGGTGTGGAAAATGAGCCTCCTTTGAAGACTGCCACTATAATGGAGTAGCTCCAGCCTGTTGGTACAGTCATCTGTTACCATAGCTTCATTAGTAAGTTGTGCAGATGATTTACAAGAGCACGATCCCGAATCTGAAGAAGGTTAGAGGAAAGGTTTCGTTTCGTTCTCCGAGGTGAGTAATTTAATGACAGACGTTTCACCACTTCGATCAATGGCATCTTCAGTGCACTGCTGCGTGGAGGAAAAGCAGCTAGGAGAAGGAACCAAAACATTAATTACCAACCCGAGCTACAGATATTCCGAATCATTGCAAGTTTGTAGGAAGTCTATATGCTTTTGTGCCCTTGTACAGTTTCGACAGTCCGACCTCTAAGATGGGCCCAACAAAGCAATCGTTTACTGAAAACCGACCTGGCCAGAGCAGAATCTGCAGGTTATCAGCTTCTCCCCAATGCTGTACAAGCGGATCTTAATCTGGACGCTATTCAATTGTGTAAGAAAAATATGCACCACCGACAGTTTGGATGATGGGATCAACTCGCTGAAGAAAACGTTGAAAAATGACTATCCAGGATTTTTCGATTAGTATAGCCAGGCGGGGGTACCGGGACAAGTTGCCATAGTTGTTAAATAGATCTCCAACGAGCTCCCATTTAAAGGTGATTCTGCTAATATAAGGACAACGAAGCGCATAACTTCAGCGGTCCCAAGGACATGTTATGCTACTGAAACTGTTCTTGTCAACCGGATTAATCAAACGTCTGTTACTCAAACGACGAAAAGACTACCAATCGGGGCCAACTCACAACTATAGTACAGTTGTGGTACACGCTACATCGACCGAACTGACACAATGATGAACTCCAGAAAAAGGGAACATGTACCTAAATGGTTGCAGCGTCAAAGCAGCCAGTCGTCGGTTGCTCATATCACCTGTTCACGTAGGCCACCTGCTTTATCCATAGGTAGGAATCAACTAGCCACCCGTGTATCCACTTGATCCGGCCAGTGTTTACGATGGTGTTAAGACATGCTAACGCCCGCTTCCTAGGTTTCGCAGAGGCATTCGCGATCAGCCATATCAAACCAGCACTCTGGGTGCAACAAAAACTGTTCGTAAGCCTAAGGCTGCCCTGGTCGTAAGGGTGGCAAATCTGTAACCCACGCTGACCAAACTTATTCCAATCTCACTCTACCTGTCGTCGCATAAAGTTGCATGTTTTGGTATTGGCACTGACGAGATAGTAAAAATGGAAAAATCTGCCAGTTTTGGTCTTCTTGCAGCTTTATTTGTAATATTGTTTGTTCGCTCTTGTTCCGCGTTTTTTTTCAACCAAAAGTTGCAGTGCGACACAATAGCTGAAGTGCTTCGCATCTTCCACTTACGTGAAGAATAATGATAGTGATGAGGATGAAAGATGTCAAACCAAGAAATGCAATGTGAGGAACTCACTTTTCAATGGCCAACTTCTTTTCATGTTGCTGCGGTTTCATTCAAGCCGTCTGTAAAATATCGATCGTCTGTTAGCAGCCGACCGTTATAATGAAAAACAAATTTCACACGACAGGGCTTTTATTTTCCGCAAAAGCAGCTGTGGACATCATAGAGATTTCAAAAGGTGCACAATCATTGTATAAAAATAGGAAAATGGCAAATAGCCAAGGCTCAGAAATAGAAAAAGTGAAAAGTAACAGACGTGTCAATGTCGCAAGAGAATAATCAAAAGGTATCGTCGAGTTGAAAACAACGAAAGCAAAGCGACAGTGTTATGGTCATGTAATCGGTGCCCAGCGGTCGGCAGAAGTGAGGTTAGAGAAATAAGTGAAAGAAACTGACTGAAATCTGGTTGAATGTAACTGTAACCTTAACCACCAAAGATGAGCTTGCAGGAAAACTAAAACGTGTATATGAAAGACCTATCAGTGCATTATTTTGAAGAGATTTTTCGCATCGAGGTGACGAAAATTAGGTCCTGAAAGTCATAAGCAGCTGTCATATGAAATCCCATATTGGCCACTGCGATTCCGTATTCTGAAGCCGAAAACCAGCTGAAGGCTTAAAGCCAGAAAAGAATGGTGTTAGTTATGACACAAAGGAGGACCACAAACAAAGTAGAGAAAACTGACATCAATGCGTAAGTTCATTAGGTGCCAGTCAAACGCCGATGTCGATAGGACAATTTTATCAAGCTACATAGCACTGTGATAAGCAAAAAATAAGACAACTGATGGAATGTACCTCATAAACAGAAAAGTGGACGGAATAGGTTTGAGTGGTAGTTCAAAGCATGTGGAAACCCAAACGAGCGTTTCAAAGCGATCGCCCGTCATGACATATACTGTCGGCAGTTCAGTAGCATACAAGGAGAAGCTTCCTTTGAAAGTCATTATGCTCCAAGTTTTGGTCAAAATTTCGCTACTTCCGCCAGACCAGTAGAAAAGGGAACGAAGTAGGTAGTCGTGTGTATGTGATATCTAACAATCATCTGATTTGGATAGAATTTTGGTATCAAAAAAACAGAATTAGATCGCCGAACGGTTGCAGTATCTACTATGGCCACGAAATTACAAGCCCGTAGATAGTAGAAAATCCCGATCCCAAAGCGCTTTGAAACGAAGCGGTCGGCATAATTCCATGCCGCGTAACACCCGATAATGGAAATGAATACTCTTTTGGTATGCTTTCGAAGGAGTCCCGACCAGTCAATGGTTTGTAGGACTTGTAATGGACTGAGTCAATAATAAGTCACTGCCATTTAACAATGAACGCTGACCGAAGCTGTGGGCAAACAGTATTGAGCATGTAACGCCAAAAGAGCCCAAATCACGGCGTCAAAGTAGTAGACCGTAATCATGCTAACCTCAGTACCATGCCTAAAGATTAACTACAGAGGAGTAATAATGGGTTTGTGCTCAACTAGTTGGGGGCTGCTGGGTGAGGATAGAGGTAGCAACACACCGGCACCCCGAGCCGACGATTCGCAACCACGCGAGCACTGCGTAGACTCGAACCGGTAAACTATAGATTACAAGTCATATGCCTTATTCACCTGGCCGCAGGTCGAGCATGTGCTAACAAACTGGTGAGCAGTTCCCATTATCCTCCGACAAACTGTGATTCCTGTAGTTTAAATCAACAATCTAACTGGTCTTAAAAGTAGTTTCCGATGATGAATGAAAACGGAAGAGGAATGGCTTCTAATCAAAATCCGATAGGATGAATAGTGAAGCAGACTATGTTTGATCCCAGAATCAAAATCAGTTACGAAAAGATATGAATGCATACAGAAAGAAGTATTGAACCTAGCCCGATAGACCACGGATAAAATGCATTGTGCTGTCGTATACAACGTCCGTATATCGATCATCAACAGTGTTAAACTGTAGAATAGCGATGATTATCGCCGTGATGGGGGGGGGCTCATTAAATGGTTAACAGTAGAATCTGAAGGAGAGTGGTGTTAATACAATAGAGATTTGATAAACCCCACGAATTTGGACCAGGGAGATGAATTATGGATTATATCCAATACGAGGCCTCCATCTAATCAGGAAAGTGTAAGTAGACAAAAGGAGCATAAATGCGTAGTCGAAAGACGCAATTAGTTTATGTGACGTCCCTGTTTCACCCCAATCCATGTACTCATATCCTACAAACTCACGTATCGCATGTGGACGGTCATCGAACTTTCCACGGTCAATTCGGAAAAACATGTTAGAACCCAGTTGGTCTGAGCTGAAATCAATGGTCTGACAGATGTAGTTGCTTCCGTAGGTGCACAGGGAGTGCCATCCAAAGTAGCCAGACAAATTAAGTAATAAGAATACACGGTGGACAGGTGTGGATAGATAAACAGGACAAAAAAACTATCAAATATTGACAGCTGGGCGAGAAAGCTGATTGCCAACGCGCGTGTTTGCCAAAAATCATGCATGTGAAGACCCTGCGAGCGTGTTGCCAGGGCCCAGACGAAGGCTGACGAAATCGCGCATCAGACAGCGAGCGTGTTGCCAAGGCCTGACCTGAAGCTGATGAAATCGCGCGCCAGACATTACGTGCGTTGCCATGCACCGGGTAGGCGGACGAAGACTGGAGTGCCCGAGAAAGACGGTGAACTGGACAGACGGAGCGGACAAGCATGTGTGAAGCGTGGGCTTACAGCCAAATCCGCCTGGTGATGTTTGGAAAGTTGGTGAGACCGACATATAAGTATGAGCGTTCTCTGTTCTACTACAACTCTGGTCTGCTGAGTCTTCTACTGTCTTCCTATCGGGTTTGCCAAGGCGTCAAACAGAGCAGGCGTAAGGGCGCAGTTTTACCAGCAGGCGTGAATCAACCGGTCGACTGCGGGCACAGTGTTATAACAAATATATTAAAATCTGACACGACGATGAAACAAATATGTAATAAACAGATTGCAAGTGAGTACAATGAGATGGCTACGGTGCAGTACGTTTATGTCATCTGCCTTTGTAAAGCAAATTACAGGCTACGAGTGGGTAGCTGATTATTGGTAACTTAAATCCCCGTATGATGCTGTGTCAGAATCAATGTGAACGATCATAATTTTACTGACCATTCGCTCCTGCAATCCGAAGTGAATACATGATGAAGGACGGATAAAAAACATTGATGGCCACAGGCATCTATGTGGAGTTTCGAACGATTATAAGGCGAATGAGCTACCTAGCAGCCTATAACTTTCGAGTTTAGTGGTGAGCCCGGTGAGCCTCTGTGCCGCTATACTTGAGTTGCTTGTTCGTTCTGAGTATAATTTTTGTTACAGATTTCAAAGTGTAATATAAATTAATTGCTCCACTGTCTTGCAAATCAGGTCCTTATGGTCTAAAATGCGCCAAGCAAACCTTTCTCGGTCTGCGCAATCTGGAGACACCATGCCTAAACAAACTATGGACCAATGCTTCAACGGCCTGCTCACCGTCTCTGCTCTCTACGCTATCGCCGACCAAGGTTACAGTGATTGAAACTGTTAAATCGCGCCCTGATACATCACAAGCCAGTCACAGTGCTCCACCGCCGTTTGCCCAAGCACTCTTGGTTCCCTTCTGTTTCCCTGTCCACAATACTGCGGTCTTGGCCTAGGGTTCCTGCCACACGAATAAGCTTAGAGATGACAGTGCACCATCTAGCTGCAGTAGCGAATCATTGCGCCCCGTTCCCAACCCAAGATAGATGCCTTCTGCACCTGACCGCTGATGCAGAACGGATCAAAGGCAGCGCTTCCTCGTACCCCCATCGCAATGAGGCTGGACCTTACGGTGGTGCGATGGTTTGCGTGCCTTAGAGATCCACTGAGCTATGCTGGGTGATGCTTTTGTGCACCTTCAGATCCACTCATACCAGCTTGGTCAATGGTTAGAGGCCAGATAAACTCATCCTCCTGGACCTCTAGGTTGCGTGTTGGAATGAGGGTGGCTCCTTGTTCCTTAAAACGGACTCATTGTAGCCCACCGCCAAATCCGCTGTCATGCGAACAAGTTTTAGAACCAAAAAGTGGTTGAGAACTTTAATCGTTCTCCTGTCTAGACCTGGGCAACCTGACAGTATCCTACCCACGCAATACAATGAATTCTTCTTCAAGCAGATTCTTGATGCTCAGGCCGTCACTGGTAGCTCAGCTGGAATGCAACTGTTACCTTTGTTTTCTATTTTTTCTTTTATATACTGCGGCACAGTAGCTGAGGTGTTTTACATCTCTAGCTAACGTGTATAGTGGTGATGATGACGATGACTTGCTCGTACCCGAAACTGTCAATGATAATTGCTGATCCACTGAGACCCGGTTACAAGACCAGCACAACTCTATGGTCGGTTCCATCATCTGCAAGCCCTGTTAGCAGTTTCACCTTGTGCTTATCCGGAGCCTCAACTGTCGGAGCCGCGGCCCTAGGCGAGCCAACTCAGATTCTGACAAAGATGGGAGACTAACTCTCATCCGGGAGCCACCTTCTCGAAGAAACATGGACTATCAAAGTAGTTCCGGCCAAACGAATACTATCGAGGCCGTGCATGTCATCGAGAGATTAGCCCCATTTACGTTGCAATCAATGTGCTCACCGCCTTGCTTCTAGATTCGTACCGGTAAGCAGGTAAAACATACTTGAAAGGGAAGTTGACTAGCGCTCATGTTGGAACAAAACGACCATAACTTTACTTCAGTGCCGTCAAAGGTTCGGTTGGCCAACCATCTTTGTTTTATGATACATGGGAGAGGTGTTTTACTCCGCTGACCAAGCTGCTCTCTGGAATTGTTTTGTGCGAAGAGAAATGATCGAAAAATATGTCGTTAATTTTTAAGCCATTTGTGCTGAAGCATCGGATCAAGTGTGAATGCAAGGCAAGCTTAGGCTCCTCTTCATAGTCCCCAGCGACTCGAGACAGGGCAGCCCAGCAATTCACTTCTTGCTCAGCTTCGATGTGGACATATGCGAACTCAACGGCGCAGAGCTGCTTCCGGGAGATCAACATCGAGATTCGGAGTAAGCAGGCGGTATCCTTGTGAATTCCTACTATCTACAGTTCAGCCAAAATGTGCTGCATAGGTTTGAGATGTCTATCTCCTAGTTCGGAATGACCTCACTTCATCGAAGATTTCCAGCCTTAAAATTTTGTGTTATCCTTTATCATTATATTATCAATACACACGTTAGTTATGATGGTAAACTTCAGCCATTGTGCCGCAATATATAAGAAAATAATTTTTAAAGGATTCAACAGACATGCCATCTGAACCACTAGCAACAGAAGAGTATCGTTCCGAATAACCAGAAGCCAGCTATCGTGCCGCAAAAAAGAGATTGGATTATGCGTACGAAATAAGGTCGTAATTGGATGGGGCCTAAGATGGAGGGGGGGACAAAGAAACTCACAACATAAACGCCACTGAGGTTGGGGCTCTGCACACTGTCGACAACGTATCCAGCCAAACGTGTTCATCGTCCTTCGGACTGCAACAAGGGAGACGAGAGGCTCCAACCGAGGCTAAGTTTGAAGGGAGGGACTACATTTACCTTGACCAAGTCATTGCTTGGCCT